ATTACATAGAGAAGCTTATTGTCTTATTCTTTCTTTATAGTTAACTTTTTGTTTTTTTAATTTTTATTTATTTATGATAGTCACACACACACACACAGAGAGAGAGAGAGAGACAGAGACAGAGGAGACAGAGACAGAGACAGAGACACAGGCAGAGGGAGAAGCAGGCTCCATGCACCGGGAGCCCGACGTGGGATTCGATCCCGGGTCTCCAGTATCGCGCCCTGGGCCAAGGGCAGGTGCTAAATGGCTGCACCACCCGGGGATCCCTGTTTTGTTTTGTTTTGATTGAAGTTTGATTTGCCAACATATAGTATAACACCCAGTGTTCATCCCATTAAGTGCCCTCCTCAGTGCCCGTCACCCAGTTACCCCAACCCCCCCATCTCCCTTTCTGCAACCCTGTGTTTGTTTCCCAGAGTTAGGAGTCTCTCATGGTTCGTCTCCCTCTCTAATTTTTCCCACTCAGTTCCCCTCCTTTCTCTTATAATCCCTTTCACTATTCTTATATTCCCCATATGAATGAAACCATATGATTGTCCTCCTCTGATTGACTTACTTCACTCAGCATAATCCCCTCCAGTTCCATCCACATTGAAGCAAGTGGTGGGTATTCGTCCTTTCTGATGGCTGAGTAATACTCCATTGTATACATAGACCACATCTTCTTTATCCATTCATCTGTTGAAAGACATCGTGGCTCCTTCCACAGTTTGGCCATTGTGGACATTGCTGCTATAAACATTGGGTGCAGGTGTCCCGGTGTTTCACTACATTTGTATCTTTGGGGTAAATATCCAGTAGTGCAATTGCTGGGTTGTAGGGTAGCTCTATTTTTAACTCTGAGGAACCTCCACACAGTTTTCCAGTGTGGCTGTACTAGTTCACACTCCCACCAACAGTGGAAGAAGGTTCCCCCTTCTCTACATCTTCTCTAACATTTGTTGTTTCCGGTCTTATTAATTTTTGCCTTCTCACTGGTGTGAGGTGGTATCTCACTGTGGTTTTGATTTGTATTTCCCTGATGGCAAGTGATGCAGAGCATTTTCTCATGTGCTTGTTGGCCATGTGTATGTCTTCTTTGGTGAAATTTCTGTTCATGTCTTTTGCCCATTTCATGATTGAATTGTTTGTTTCTTTGCTGTTGAGTTTCATAAGTTCTTTATAGATCTTGGATACTAGCCCTTTATCTGATAGGTCATTTGCAAATATCTTCTCCCATTCTGTAGGTTGTCTTTTAGTTTTGTTGACTGTTTCTTTTGCTGTGCAGAAGCTTTTTATCTTGATTAAGTCTGAATAGTTCATTTTTGCTTTTGTTTCCCTTGCCTTCATAGATGTATCTTGCAAGAAGTTGCTGTGGCCAAGTACAAAAAGGGTGATGCCTGTATTCTCCTTTAGGATTTTGATGGATTCTTGTCTCACATTTAGAACTTTCAACCATTTTGAGTTTATCTTTGTGTATTGTGTAAGAGAATGGTCTAGTTTCATTCTTCTGCATGTGGCTGCCCAATTTTCCAAACACCATTTATTGAATAGACTGTGCTTTTTTTCCAGTGGATAGTCTTTCCTGCTTTGTCAAATATTAGTTGACCATAGAGTTGGGTGCCCATTTCTCAGTTCTCTATTCTGTTCCATTGATCTATGTGTCTATTTTTGTGCAAGTACCATACTGTCTTGATGATCACAGCTTTGTAATACAGCTTGAAATCCAGCATCGTGATACCCCTGGCATTGATTTTCCTTTTCAATATTCCCCTGGCTATTTGGGGTCTTTTCTGATTCTATACAAATCATTGTATAGATCATTTGATTATTTGTTCCAACTCTGTGAAGACATTTTCATAATATTTATTCTTCCAATCCATGAGCATGGAATGTTTTTGCATCTCTTTGTTAACTTTTAAGAACACATTGTGTTTACTTTATGCTTTACGAGACTTGACATGGTTTTTGACCAAGTCTGTTGACCACTGTGGAGGATGAGGTGGGAACGTTTTTTAAAAATTTCTTCCATGGAAGGGGAGGCAAGGAGAGTACTCAGTTATGTTGATTTAGTTACACTCTTTTGGCCAGATTACTCTGTGACCATGTACACACATTTGTGGGAAACTTGGCTAAGGATCTCAGGGGCAAGAGAACACAGAATTAACAGAATTTATAATTCTTGATTAAATTATTAACTTTGCTTCATTAGCACCACATTCTAACTACTTCACTTGGCAAGGTATTGTTGGATAGGCATTTATTACTTGCCACATAAATAGCTCCTGCAAATCTTATAGAACCAAAGGCTGAAGGAGAACTCGTCATTAACATCATCATCATCATCATCATCATCATCAATACTAATATTTGATGACATATATTGAGTGTTAATCTTTTCTGTTTTACATTGATTAGTACATTTTTATCCTATTATCCGGTTTTACAAATAAAAAAACCTTCAGCAGAGTGAAGTTAGGCAACTTGAACAAGGTGACACACCTATTAAGTGTCTGAGTCTGATTAGTTCTGAGCCCTGACAGTATGGGTCCAGAGCTCACTCTCATATCTGTTTTGTTTTGAAATTCACATAAAGTGAAATATTCCTTTTTTGAAATGTACTCCTGAAGTCCTCAAATGGGAGTCCTCCAACCCGTCGTCAGTCAGTGGCGACACCAAGTGGTAATGAATGTGTACTGCAGCCATTTCCAACTCGACATAAATCACTCTTGCCCAAGCTGTTCCAAATAAATTTATATTTGCTGGCTCTACAGAGGTAGCTTCATGACAAGTCTGTTTTCGACCAGATTGCTATCCTTCAACTTTTCTTTTTCTTGTCTCAGAGGAAAAGGCATTTTTTTCCAATATAGTTTCTATTTTACATCTCATTTCTATGCCCCACGAATTTTACTCCATTATTTATCCCCTCCTTTTATTGCCGCTTCAGTTTCTGTTTCACCAGCAGCTCTTCCTGCTCAATCTACAATTAAGCGCTGATTTTTCCTATCCTGAAATGACAAAACAAATAAATGAACCTCTCTGAACAATTACCCCAGATTCTCTTAGAGTTCCAATAACGGGATTCCCTTGCTCAAAAACATTAATTCCTTATCAGTCATTTTCTGAATTAAGTAAAAATCTCAGTCAGACATTCAGGATCCTCCAAAATTTGGCCTGAATTTCTGGTTGTATCTCCCTAACACTTCCCTACCCTAAGCTTCAATCACACAGGACTAGTCACATATCTTTATATGTGATTTCCTTCGCACAAGTTACCATCTCCACTTGGATTTACCCTTATGAGAGGACTCAGAATAACTTCCCCTGGATTCTTTCTAGTTACTTGGGGCTCTCTTCCACCCACCCAGTCATCCACTTATTACACTGTGAGTGCCTGAAGGCAGGGACTAAATGCTACCAGGCGAGAAAGTAAAAATCAGCTTGGACCGAGAAAGCAAAAATATGGCCATTCATCAGGCTGGAGTAACAGACACAGATAAAGTCAGTTGCAAGTTTTACAGGGAACAATATTTCCCCTAAAGACAAACTGCAGCTTTAAAGTGATTAACCATCCCCTTTGAGTGACCACCACCTTTTTTTTATTCACTGAGAAACTTTGTTCTCTATAATCACAGACTATTGGAGACTGCTGCTTGAAATCATGCCAGTGAGAAGAAAACATCCCACATTTGTCTGGAGGACATAAGGTTCTTGGACACAAAGAGACAGTCTTGATATCCTATCCAGGTGCAGAGCTTTGGATATGGGGTATCTGGACACAACATTCCACATCTATTTTTACTTTGTGGTTCCCAAGGAAACAGGTCTCTGGGTTCATTTCAAAGTTCAGACCTGATGTTGGCCTCTTCACACATTCCTGCTTTGCACTTACCAAAAACAGTCCTTCATTAAAAATTTATCTAAACTCCACCGTACCCTCAAATTCTGTAGTGACTGTTTTTCTTTGGTGGGATGCTCCATGCTTTCTCTTGTGTGTGGTCTTCTTCATTGCAATGGTCAAAAAGCCTGACTTTTAGATTTACCTGGATTGATTATATGGGTTCCGGTCTCAGTTCTGCTAACTAATTATCTGGTTCACCTTAGTAAGTCAGAGCACTTCATAGGGCTATTTTTTCTTCTGTAAAATGAGGGTCTGTTTTTTCCAATCCCAAGTGGAGGTAGGTTGGACTCTCAGTTCTACCACTTACCGAGACCTGTGATGTTTGCTTTTCTGAGCCTCTGTTTAGTAATTATTAAAGCGGAGATAATATTGAAAACTGCGGTGTAGATTATCCAGCACCGCAATGAGGGTCGAGTTGACTGTTAAAAGCATCACTATATTTGATTACTCTGTCTACTCCTGTTATGTGAGCTCGGGCAAGTGACTTAATCTTTGTTTTCTCATGAATAAAAGTGGAAAATAATAGTAAGTACCCCAGTGCAGTTATTGCTGCCATTAAATGAGATGAAAATGAGTTAAGGGCTTAGGACAGTGCCTGGCACATAATTAGAGGTTCAAAACATGCGAGCCAATGTAATCAGTATTAGACTACTACCAGCTGTTCCGTGGGCCAGAAACTCAGGACAGTTTCATTCTAAGGATAAAATCCCAAAGAACCGTACCCCAGGCTGCAAACTGTGAAACATAACGGAGCATAGGGGTGGTGGAAGGGGAGTAGGGCGGGGGGTGGGGGTGACTGGGTGACGGGCACTGAGGGGGGCACTTGACGGGATGAGCACTGGGTGTTATTCTGTATGTTGGCAAATTGACACCAATAAAAAATAAATTTATTATTAAAAAAAAAACCAAATAGGCTCGGCCCGCACCGGGTCAGGACCCGCCCGGTCCTCGTTAAATATGGCAGCGAGCAGGGCCGACCTAACTGCGGTTGCGCACGCGGAAACTCCTCCTCCGCCGCCTTCCCGGGCCGCCTCAGCCCCCGCCCAGGCTAGACCCAGGTGCCGGGAGAAGGCCGGCTAGGGTGCGCACGCGCAGACATTGGCTGTGCTCGGCCGATACTTGCGAGGCGTCTGTCACATGAGCTGCGCGCCCACTCCCCCTCCTCCTGGCTGGTCTGTGAATGAAGCTCTGCCGGCTACGTGGGGCGCTAGCTAGCTCGGCTTGGTGTCCTGGACGCCGGAGCCGACTGAGCGCTCGGCCCGCCGGCGGCCGACACGGGCTCCGCCGCCCCTCACCTCGGCGACAGGTAAAGACAGATGGGCTGTCCCTTCCCCAACAGGTCTTTCGTGGGCCGCTGGTCCCCGGCTCACCCGCGAAGCACCCCCTGAGCGCCCCGACACAGGGGAAGCGCTCCCCGCTGGCGGCCCCCCCCCCCGGAGATGGGGGTTCCCCTTGCCCGGCCGCCGCCGCCTGGCACTCGGAGGAGTTAGACCGGCTAGTTCTAGCCAGTGCAGGGCGGCATCTTCCCGGGAGCCCTGCCCTATTCTCCGAGCCAGGGTCCCTGTGCGGTCCCAGCGAAGTTTTCTCGCGGAGCGGCGCCAAGCCCTTCCCGCTTTTGAATGGGGGGAGGCTGGCTGCAGGACTGGGCAGAGTGGTTTTGGCTGGTGAAGCTCTGTCGAGGCCCCGTTCTTCTTCCTCCTGCTCTGGACTCGCAGATCTGTGTGGGTCTTAGCGAAGTGGACCGCAGACTCGCAGAAAAATCGTTGCTACGAGTTTTGCGCCCCCCCCCCACCTACTTAACGCGTGTAGCTAGTTCTCTAGACTTTCCAGGCTTGCGCTCGAGCGCCTTAACCTAGAAGGGGAAAGCCTTACCTTCACATTGATGCACGTTTACCTTTCTTAACATTTCAGAGCAAATCAGTTTCCTGGAGTGCCAAGCGAAGTTGTACGTGTGCCCGTGTAATAACGTCAGTGTAAGCTACCCCGAATTAGAGGGAAATTCAGAAGCGTGGAGCATAAAAAGCCAGTAAGAATCTGCTTTACGTAAACTTCATACCTTTATTAGCAGCTACCCAGGTTTAACTTCAGAGATGTTAAATTTCTCCTGGTCTCACGAGGCACGGATCACTACTTAACTGTATGCGAAATAAGGGAGGGGGGCAGACCAAAACTGTCCCGGCTTCGAGATAAGTCATTGGAGCGATTTTTCCTGGTGAATTCATCCTTGGACTTGTGAGTTCCTAACTTTTCTTGGAACCTTTCTTTTTTTGCGAACCTTTCCTTATCCAAAGCGTTGTTTTGTCTCTATCGGTGACATTTACACTCTTGACCCCCCCCCCAAAAAAAAAAACATTAAGGAAGACCAAAATGATGACTCTCAAGTTCATAATATTCTTCAGTATGTGTGCGTTAGCGCTTTCGCTTTGGGGGTGGAGGTGTTGCTGGTATAAAAACTATGGAAATAGAAATCTCCTTTCATGTTGACCAAGTCAAAAAAAGGGGAGGACTTTTTCTTAGACAAAGCAGATAGTTTGTATGTTAAATAAGGAAGACCAGTTCATTAATTAAGACCTTGTTTAAGTGGACAGCACAGTGTTTAATATATTAAGTCTCTGGATCAAACTAAGTAGTCATATTTTTTTCTCCCATTCCTAGCTCCTCTCTTATCCTTGCAAATTGTATTGTCCTAAGACCGAATTTGATGTTTTATTTATTTATTTTTTAAGATTTTATTTGTTTATTCATGAGACACACACACACACACACAGAGAGAGAGAGAGAGAGAGAGAGAGAGAGAGAGAGAGAGAGAGGCAGAGACACAGGCAGAAGGAGAAGCAGGCTCCATTCAGGGAGCCCAATGTGGGACTGGATCCTGGGACTTGATCCTGAGACTCCAGGATCTCGCCCTGGGCTGAAGGCAGGCACTAAACCGCTTAGCCACCCAGGGATCCCCCTGATGTTTTAAATTTAGGAATCAGCATAATTAATTTGGTTGTACTTAAATTAGTATTCTCTTTGTACATTTTTCTTTGTCTTTGGTTCTTCTATACCCTGAATATAAAAGCAATATATGCCTCCTATAGGACATTGGCAAAGTGTGGAAAAGTATAATGAAGCAGAGAGGAAGAACCATGACCCAAAGGGCATTGCTCTTAACTTTTTAAATTATACTAACTTTCTTTTCCATTCCTATATGGGGGCGATTTAAAAACATTAAGTATTACAAAATTTGCTCCCCTTTCTACTAATTTTTAAATGTAAAGTTGGCGTTGGGGGGTGGGGGGCCATTGGATGTTATGTTGCTCTTCATTCCCCAACCTGTGGAACTTCGAGATAGGAAAGACATTAAATGGTTATCTCATTCAACCACCCATCCTTTGAGATTCTGAAACCTATTTACTGAAGATCCAGTGATTCATGCAGAATTGGACAGCACTCAGTGGCAGTAATAACTGACTCTAGATCTTTCCATTCTGTCTTTTTAAAGCAATACCTCGCTGGGAAAAACTTGACACTACCCATGTCTGCATATCATTGAAAGAGAGGTTCAAAGAGGGATAGGAGGTAATTTTTAGGGATTTGAAATGTTTTTTTTTTATTAATGTAGGTATTCATTTTTCTGTTCACATTTTTAGGTTCAGGGCTTGAGCTACGTGACAAGGCCACACAGCTGCTGCTGTTCCATCTACACATCCCATTCAAGCCTCCTCACAAAACCGGAGGAATTTGAGGAACTGAGTGTGTGACTCCCAACGTGGGAGAGGATAGGATCAAGATGGCCATGTGGCAGGGTAAGAAATTAGCACTTATTTCTTTAACTATTTTTTTCCTCCTTCTCTATCCTCCATCCCAACCCAATCCCCCAAGCCAGTGGCAGGCAGCCAGCTGTTTCTTTAATTTAACCCTTTGTCTTCACAAGGACAAAGTATATTAATTTAAAAGAAGTTTCTGCTAGCTAGAAGTTTAATGTATTTTAAAGTAGAAGTGGAGGGGGAGGAGGAGGGAAGTAGCAGGAAAAAGTAATGCCAGAAGCATTTTCAAAAAACTCCCTCTGTTTGAGCATGTGCTTGTGGGGTTATACATGAGTAAACAGGATTTTTTTTTCATATTAGTGTTTTTCATTTTGTTTCCTGCAAATTCCTATCATAAGGTTATCCATGGTGGGAGAGACAGATGTCAGTACCTCCTTGGCTTCCTCTTCCCAATAAAAACTTTAAAGCATATTTAATGTTACAATGTTTATATTTGATGATAGAAGGAAAATGCTTGTTTGAATACTATGAACTACCCAAGAGCAAAACTCAGTGATCTCTCCCAAGAGATGGGTTTACATCTCTTGGAAACCTGGGGATTCCTCCCACATATTAAGTTATTTTTTAATTTTTGGTGGGGTTGAGGATTGTGCCTTTTGGGAGAGTATCAGAATTTCTGGGGGTATGTGGGATTTTTGTTTCTCAAAAGGGAGTGTGGGTTTAAGAAATGATAGGCAAACACTGCCCAAAGTGGTCAATGATTCACAAAAGGTTAAGGATCACTTAGATGGAGTAGGATATGCAAGAACTTGAATAGCCATAAGTATTCAACAGGTAGGTTTGTTGGTTGTCTAGTGTATCTCTTAGAACTGTCTTCTGTTGGGGCACCTGGGTGGCTCAGTGGTTGAGCATCTGCCTTTGGCTCAGGTTGTGATCCTGGGGTCCTGGGATTGAGTCCCACATCGGGCTCCCCACAGGGAGCCTGCTTCTCCCTCTGCCTGTGTCTCTGCCTCTCTTTCTGTGTCTCTCATGCATAAATAAATAAAATCTTTAAAAAATAAAAATAAAACCGTCTCCTGTTGATTTTGGCCTCAAGTATGAAGGCACACAAATGTTAACAAGTATTTTTGATGTAGGAGGATTGTCAATTTGAAGATGTTCATTGAAATGGGATTTGGCCTGTATTGCTTGCTTTGATGCACACAGTGGACATTGATCAGGTGCAGTTTGGAAATTCCTATTTAAATCCCGAGACATTCTTTCATTCAACAAATATGGTACTGAGATGCAAAAGGTACAGAGCCCTAGAGGGTCCCTTGCCTTATGGGAAAGACATACATATAAACAAATAGTTGTATTAGGTTGAAATAAGTATTTTAATAGGGAGAGGTGCAAAATGTGACGGAAGCCCAGAGAAAACCATGTCGAATTTTGAATTTTGAGCTGATCTAAAAAAAATGAGTGGGAGTTTGCCAGATGGGCAAACGAGAGAATTGCATTCTGGGCAGACAGAAAAGTACTGTTTGAAAACTTCCAAGTTAGTTCCTTGTGTGAGTTGTGTGGGCCATGACCTCGGATGAAGCAGGAAAGGTAGTTGGGGCCCACATAATAAAGAACCTTGTATGTTCTAGGAAGGATTTTACACTTTATCCTGGAGACAAAGATTCTAAACAGGGAAGTAACATAATCAGATTTTGTTCTAGAAAGATTATTTTGGCAGCAGTGTTGAGGTGGAGTTGAAGCTGGAGAGAAAGTAAGCCAGGACCTGGTTGGAAGGCTTCTGGTAGAGTAGTTGAGGGAAAGAGATGGGGGTCTCAGCAGAAGCAGGGGCAGCAAAGGTGAGAGATCCAGGAGATAAATTCTAGAAATGCCCTGTGACTGGTTGTGGGGGGAACTGCCCAGGCTGAACCTCCAGTTTGGGTGCTTGGGGCTGATGGTGCCAGCCACCAGGATGGGAACCATGGGGAGGTGGTCAGAAGGGCATGGAGATCGTGGGAAGTTAGTGTCTTGACTTGGGTTTGGCCTCTTCTGCTTGAAACACCTGTGGGCTGTCAGGTCCATGATTAAAAGATAGTGGTTGGGGGATCCCTGGGTGGCGCAGCGGTTTGGCGCCTGCCTTTGGCCCAGGGCGCGATCCTGGAGACCCGGGATCGAATCCCACATCGGGCTCCCAGTGCATGGAGCCTGCTTTTCCCTCTGCCTGTGTCTCTGCCTTGCTCTCTCTCTCTGTGATTATCATAAATAAATAAATAAAAATTAAAAAAAAGATAGTGGTTGGGAGTGTGGAACTGAAGTTTGTACAGGCGGGGATTGAAAGTTTTGTTCCTAATGATGCATAAAGAGCTTGTGTTTTTTCTCTGTTTAATGGAAACATCATTAGTAGTTAATGATTTATTTATTTTCTAATAAAAACAGTTTAATGGATGCCAGTTCTTAAGAAAATGTTGTATTTTCTTAATAAATAATGTATTTTGCTATCTCGGGCTCTGAAATGGGATCTGCTTAAAATGACATTGGCATAAAACTGAATTTTCCGAGCATTAGTGAAGAGGGGAGTGTTCCATATAAGTAATTGCAACTTATTCTTTGTTTGTGCAAACTCTGCAATGACGAGCACAGTATAGCGATAGTTTGGCTGGCAGTGTGGTATAATAGTTAAAAATATAGTTTTGGGTTCAACTCTGCTGGTTCTATCACTTGTTCTATCACTTGGTAGCTGTGAGACCTTGGGCAGGTCCCTCAACCTCTCTGTGTCTCAGTTTCCTCCTTTGTAAAATGGGAATAATAATAGAATTCACCTTATAGGATCATGTTGAAGATTAATATATGCAAAGCACTCAGGACATAGAATTTTAGGTTGCCCTTGAAAGCCCTGCCCTGTGGTGGACCATTTGGGTCTGTGGAAGTTTAGATCTGAAGAGATCCTTAGAATACATCTAATTCAACCCCAGAGGTTAAGTGACATGCCTATGCTCAAACAGGTTTGTAGTGGTGACAGGACTAAAACCCAGATGTCCTGGCTCCCTATTCTACTTTTCTTTCCATTGGCTCATGGAAGAGGGAATGTGTGGGTCTAGCCTCAGCTCAGGGAAGCTCTGAGTCAGTTTCTGGAGCTAGTTGAGGAACTCTAAGAACTAGAGGAAGCCAAGTCTTCTTCCCCCCCCTTTTTTTTTAAAAGATTTTATTTATTTATTCATGAGAGACACAGAGAGAGGCAGAGACATAGGCAGATGGAGAAGCAGGCTCCCTGTGGGGATCCTGATGTGGAATTCGATCCCAGGACCCTGGGATTACAACCTGAGCCAAAGGCTGATGATCAACCACTGAGCCACTCAGGCGCCCTGAAGCCAAGTCTTCTTTGTTTCTCAGGTCAATGTTATTTAGCTCCTCTGTGGAGAATTTTATCAGAATTCCTGTACCTCTTAAACATGGCCAACATTATTATTTCGACTTCATTTGGTGAAACCCTCTAACACATTTCCTGGCTCCTATAAAAACAGTCTACTGGGCGTAATTTAATATTTTTTATAATTCAGGGTCATCATTAATACCATCAGTTTTCTTGGTCTAATGGTCAAGAAATTATTGACAAGAGGATTAGCCAGTTTGAGGTGGGATGAGGTTGGAGATGTGTTGTCAGATGTTATTTATTTATTCAATTATTGTTTATTAGGTATGAGTTATGCACTAGGCACTGTGCTGAGCCCTAGAGGTACACTGGTTGGTAAAACAGGTATGGTCTCTGTTCTCATGGAGCTTGCCAACCAGGATAAAGGAAACATTTCAAATTCATGAAATGATTTATTTAATTAAAAAATGTGCTGAGGTAATTTGGAAAAAAGAACACCCATAAAAATTTAGAGTGTTAAAATAGTGTTTCTTAATAAAGGAGAGGGTACCTCAGAATTTTCCATGGTGCCTTAAAAAATGTGCCTGCTCAGGTCTCAGACCCCCAAATTTTGATTCAGTTTTAGGACCTGAACATTAAAAAAAAAAGTAAGTTATTCTGATGTGTAATCCTGTTTGGGAACTGCTACATTAAAGAATTAAAACTTTTTTAAAAAAGATGATAATGGAACTAAAAAAATAGGAGGCTATATAATTGGGGGATAGGGAAGGTATTTGTATGCATAATGTCAAAGGTAAAATAATAAAAGATTAATATAATCAACTATATGAAAATTTTAAATTCCTCCAAAACCCATATAGTTAATGAGAAAACTGGAATCCTAATAAGACTCATTATTTTTAAAACGTAGACTTACAGAGCAATGGGAAAAATTCTAAGTGTTTGACTAGCAAAAGATGGGAATAGGAAAATACTTAAAAGAAGAAATCTTAATGGCCAGTGAATGTGAAAAAATGTTCTTAGTGGTAAAGAAAGGAGATTTAAGATGACATACCATTTTCTCCAATATAATTTGCAAAGATTAAAACGAAATGACAAAACTCAGTGTTGGCAAGGACACAAGGAAACAGGCATTCTTAGATACTTCTGTTGGGAATGTCAGTTTGGCAGTGTTTATCACAAGCTTTAAAAAGAACATGTTTACCTTTTGACCGAGCATTGTTTTTGGAATTTGTCCCAGGGAAGTAATTAAGAATGTGCATAGAGGTGTGTCAATAAGGATATCCATTGCAGCATTTTCTATAGTGGGAAAAATTGGTTAGCACTGGCATTCTGAAGTAGTGATACAGTGGAATAGTGTAGTTACTAGAAAGGATAATGTCAAGTTCTACTTATTAACATAGAAAATAGGTCCATAATATGATAGTATGAGTGGTGGTGGGGGAAGCAGATACCAGATTATAAATAGTTAAAAGTCTGGGCTCTGGGGATGAAACGTACAGCATAGGGAATATAGTCAATGGTATTGTAATAGCTTTGCATGGTGACAGATGGTAGCTTGTGGTGAGCACAGCATTATGTATAGACTTGTAGACTCACTGTATTACACTAGAAAGTAATGTAACATTGTGTGTCAACCATACTCAAAAAAGAAAAAGTCTGGGCTCTGGGTTGAATTGAAATCCCAGCG